TAGACAGTATGCATAACGGTTAGGCGTACAAGCTCAGAAAATAGACTATAGTTTTCCAAATCCTGGTTTGGTCACCTGTTAGGTCTGCAACCTTAGTTATGTTATTTAAACTCTGAACTTCAGTTTCACAAGTTATGAAATGGGAATAGCCCCTACCTCTTGTGGTAGAATTAAACCCATGTAAGCATTTGGCATAGCATAAGGCATGTTGTAAGCACTTAAGAAATGTTAGCTGTTCCTTGAAGAGATTTGAGTTTGCAAGCCCTACTGAGGCAGTACTGAAAGTTTTGCTTTTGTTTTCTGTTTCATTTTATTTTTTAATGAAGTATAATTGATTTAAAAAGTTTCAGGTGTACAGTAAAATGATTCAGTTATATATATGTGTGTGTGTGTGTGTGTGTGTATGTATATACTGTTTTTCAGATTCTTTTCCATAGTTCTGAAAGTTTTTTGAGAAGGGAAATAACATCCTTCTAATCTTTGGAGTTCTAGAGCATTGAACTAAAACCCTACTTAAATTGCAATGACTAGTCCAAGGACATCAGATAATTCTCTTAAATCCTTAGCTGCTGGGGTTAGTTTCCAGTGTCACCCACCTACTACTTCACTCACTCTTTGAGAAGGCCAGTGGAGGAAGGAGCAAGTAGTCAGCTTTGCCTGTTGGTATCTTCAACACATCCAGTGATTCTTATAGCAGCAGTTTCCCAGGCTAGATCCCAGGTTCAGATGATGGCCTCCCTTTTTTAGGACATGTTATTGTGAGTTTTAAGAACTGTAATCTTGAAAATCCTTATGATTCCAGGAGCTTCTCTGGTAATTTGCTTGTCTTTAATAGCTGAAAAATGAAAAGAGTTTAACATAGAATTGTTGCTCCAAAAAAACAAGAACTTGAAGATATGAGTACAATAGGTTGAAAAACACTAGTGTGAACAAAACGAGTCTTTTGTAAAAGCTCCGTGTGCTTAATGAACAAGGACTGCTAATTACATAACTGTCAGTGATATTTTCTGGCACGGTCTAACGCCAGCTTCTTCGGTACAACAAATATGAAAATGCCTAGAAGTAAATCACATTTGCTGAGTGCTGTGGGCAAACAAACCCATGCCTTATCTCTTTCAAAGGCAGCCATGGAAAATACATGATAAATTGCACAGTTCAGTGAACATGTTATGTCATTGTGAAATGATTTTGATTCATGGTTATGTATTTATTGCTAAACAACTGACAAACCTCAAGGTATCAGAAATATCATTCATGGGGTTTTGCTATTTTCTCTTGCAAAATTCAAGTGCTATGAAGTGGTTTTCTTTTTTATTTAAAATACTTTATTGAAAGTGATATTTGCCACAGTCTATGGAAATAATTTTTTTAATTATATGAATTCCTGCCAGAAGTGTCAAAGAGCTGTGCTAGTCACTAATATTTTTATCATAATGAATAATTCATATTTTTGCTAATATCCTTTTATGAAAATTTTATAGCTAAAAATAGACAAAGTTGTAAGCCAGTTTGATTTCAGAATAGGATTATAATCTCGTTTCATATAGCTTATCAATATAATGAAATTTTTGAATGTTTTCTGTGCAATAGCGGTAGAATTAAGAGTGAGAGAATTATATTAAAGAAGATTTTACAGAAGTGGCTTTTATGCAAACATAATTCCTTTCCCGTGGTCAACATATCTTACTATACTCTATCCATTGCTGACTCTCTTCAGTTTAAAGTATTAAATAATTAAGCCATTTTCTACTTGAAACTTACAGTTATTTTTTACTAATTTTTCTTTCAATTGGTGCTTTTGGCATCAGCATTTGATGTTTAAAACCTTTTCTTCTATTGTTAAAAGCAGCAGGAAAGGTAGCCTGACAACACACAATGTGTACGAGGCATATCGTAAGCACTTAATAAATGTTAGCTATTCATCAACAGATGTACTCTCACATTGTGTCTTGTTTTTCTAAATCTCGTAAACCAAGAACCACTGTTTCTCAACTGGTGGTTTTGTTTTGTTTGTGTTGTTTTGTTTTGTTTTGTTGTAATCATGAAATTCTTCTTTTCTGAGTTTTATAATCAAGTATTTTAACGTGGCTTTGGATATTTTGAGTAGTGCCATTGAGCTCTTACGAATAAAATAACAAAGAAAACCTTGCCTGATGGTAGAAATGATAAATTATTTCTTAGGTATATTAAAGGGATTTGGGTATTTCTAATATATCGCCATCATTTAAACCTGAATTCATTTTATTTTCCTTTAGTATATTTTAACCAATTGACCTTTACATATACTTTGCATTTATTAAATTAGGATAAATTTTAGTAGCCTAGAAATACGATTCAAAACATTCATAGTGTTTTTCTTTTAGCCTTGGAATATGACAAGCCTATTCTCTAAATATTTACATCATTGGAGAATATCTATGTACTTATGCTGATTTTGGCTTAACATTTTCAAAAATAAGTCTGTTAAATTAAATGTAAGCTTTAAAGGAGAAAACCATAGATCTTGTAACTTGATACAAGTATTGCAACATTGCTTACAGCATTTCCTTGGAAGATTTTTATGCCCTTCTACTACCATGGCTACTTTCACCTTTATATTCAAAATTCCCAAAATGTATCTGTATGAGGATAATTTTAAAACATGAGATTTATGCTACTATAAAGGAGAAATCCTTTATAACAACGTAAATCCGTTGTCACCAGAAATTTCAGTCTAAGTTTTACATGAAAGGGAACATATTTTATCTTTAATGCCTCATTAAACTTTCTGGAAATGGCAATATTCTAAAATATTCTAGGTGGATGACTACATATGTCTGTATTCCTTCTGAAAAATTCAAACATCAGTGAAAAAAAAAAAAGACTAAACAAATCATTTGTTCTAATAATTACAGTAGTGGTATTTTCTCTTCCGTTTAATTTTGCCTTTATGTATAGATGTTACTTTAAGTCAACCATGTCTTGCCTGCACTTTTTGAGTGAAATAGCCAAAACCACCATTCCTCAGCCAAATGATGTTCCTGTTGTTTCAAAGGTGACCTTGTATTTAAACCTTAATTCTCTGTGTGTTTTTGTTCACATGTGTGTGCCTGGATTGTGTATGTTCACACACATGTGCTTGCACGTGTGTTTATGTTTGTGTGTGTGGGTGCATGATTTTTTTGTACATTCACAATATCATAAACTGCATTGTGTTGCTAAGAACATGGACTCAGGAAGCAGCCTACCTGAGTATAAATCCCAGCCCTGCTAATTCCTAGTTGTGTGAATTTGAGCAAGTTTTTTTAACTTCTTGCTTTCATGTTCTCATCTTACAGGGTTGTTGTAAGATTTAAATAAGTTAATATATGTAAAGCATTTTGAACACCTAATCCATAGTATTTAATAACATATTAGCATTACCATTATAATCATTATCATATATTCATTTACTCTATTTTATTTCTAAAGTCGTATTATTTATACAAATGCATTGGTGGGTGATATTACATATGTATTTCACTGAAATGATATTAAAGGTGTGCCTTGCTGTATGTCAGTTATAGCTCAATAAAACTGGAAAAAAAATTTTAAAAGATGTCAACGGAATATTTTGGATTGTGATAATTTGATTAGATAAACTGTTATCATTGGTGAGAGGAAACAGCTGCGAAAAAGCAACAGAAATTGCATAACTTGGTGGCTCACAGATGACATATCAAATATACTAAAATGCATTCAGGGACTTGCCCTGGCGGTCCAGTGGTTCAGACTTCGCCTTCCAATGCAGGGCATGTGGGTTTGATCCCTGGTCAGGGAGCTAAGATCCCACATACCTCGTGGCCAAAACACCAAAACAGCTTCATTGTAACAAATTCAAAAAAGACTTTAAAAATGGTCCACATCAAAAGAAATCCATAAAAAAAATGCATTCATTTATTCAAATGTAGGCCTGTTGCACGTCTACAATGTGCCAGGATTTCGTGTTAAAATGACACATGATACCATATGATCCAGCAGCAATCATGCTCCTTAATATTTACCCAAAGGAGTTGAGAATTCATGTCCACGCAAAAACTTGTACGTGGATGTTTATAGCAGCTTTATTCATCATTGCCAAAATTTGGAAGCAATCAAGATGTCCTTCAGTAGCTGAATGGATAACTAAACTGTGGTACATCCAGACAACGGAATATTATGGAGCACTAAAAATAAATGAGCTATCAAACAATGAAAAGACATGGAGGAACATTAAATGCATATTTTTAAGTGAAGTAAGTCAACCTGAAAAAGCTGACTACAATATGATTTCAACTATATGACATTCTGGAAAAAGCAAAACTATGGGGACAGTCAAAAGATCAGTGGTTTCCAGGGGTTGGGGGTGGGATGAGGGATGAATAGGCAGAACAGAAAGGATTTTTAGGGCAGGAAAACTACTCTATATGATACTATAATGAAAAATACATGTCATTATACATTTGACAAGCCCATAGAATGTACAACACCAGGAGTGAACTCTAATGTAAACTATGTATTCCGGGTGGTAGAGATGTGTCAGTGTTGGTTCCTCAGCTTGTACACAAGGGCTACTCTGGTGGGGGATGTTAATGATGGGGGAGGCTGTGCATGCATGGGGGCAGTGGGTTTATGGAAAATCTCCATAGCTTCCTCTTAATTTTGCTGTAAACCTAAGACTTCTTTAAAAAATAAAATCTATTAGGGAAAAAAAAAACAAGATAAAAATAGAACAAAGCAATGAGTACTTTTCAAAAATTGCAAAAATATGTGCTAATATATAATGCCCCAAGAAAAATGTCTTCTAAATGTAAACGACCACCATTACAAAAAAACTACATATTACTGCAATAAAATATTCACCTGAACTATTAAAAAATGAGAAATGGTGTGCCTTCAACTACTAGGAATAAATATTTTAGCTGCCTGAAGCATTGTAGGAAAAAAGTAAGATAGCAGTGTCGTGTAAACTGTGCAAATTTAGAATGGGTTTTCTTTTTCAGGGAGCACCCAAACCAATAGCCATTGAACCATGTGCTGGGAACAGAGCGGCAGTTCTGACTGTGTTTCTCTGTCTACCACGAGGATCATCAGGTGCCCCTCCCCCAGGGCAGTCAGGTAAGATGAATGAGGTACCATCAGCAGTTAAGCAAAACATGCAGACGGAACAGAAGAAGTAAACAATACTACCAGATAGCACAATAAAGACATTTACAAGGTTCTGATTTACAGCATGGTAACATTTTATTAGAATACAAACTTCTACCCAAATATCTAGATATCTGCCTTGCTATAAATTCAGATTTGCAAGTGTTTCTCTTAAAAAATACGTGTTGAATATATGTGTGTATTTGTGTATAACATAACACACGTATGTATGTACGGACACACTTCAATTTGTTGTTGTCATTGCAATGAGTAATCTCACTAGCAGGGCAAAGTGACCCTTTTGGGCAGCTTCTTTTCTCCCAGTATGTGTGTCATATGGGATGCCAAATTAGAAATACGATTAGAAGCTTGTTTCATAAATATGGAATCTAATTAGGGAACTTACTTACATGTTTGGAATGTTTTGCGGCATCGGAGGATAAAAGTTTGCTGCGACCATCCTGGAATATTGAAGATAAGTTCTTGCTGTCAGCACCGGACAGGTGCGGTTCATGGACCCAGGGACCCTCTCCTTCACTTGAGCACAGCCAGCCTTTTCCTCTGATTCTCCTTTTCCTGCATAAAAAGTATATTTTGAATTCGAGGTAACTCTGTGTATCCTCTTAGAGATCTTCTCATTGCTTCGACAGTTGTCCACATTGTAAACATGCCCCGTGTTGAGTATAACTTGTAACTAAATCACAAACCATGCTTATTTCTCTCTTTGTGCATATCCTCTTCCATCTGCTTACAATTTCTGATTATTCTTTCTCCCGATTGTTTTCTTTAAAGGACCCTCAGTGAAATGGATGCTTTCTGAGGGTCAGGGTGATTTCAAATCTTTCTCTTCAGTTCCCCTTAAGGATAAAATAACGTGCCAGAGATCTGGCAGGTTCTCAACAGTAGTTGATGATAAACTCAGCTCCCTGCTTAGTTTTCTTTCCTTAGTTCCCTAGTTAGCTTTGACCTTTCTCCTCACTTTCTTGATTTGTGTCCAACGAGACACAAAAATGGAAGCCACACTACTTTATACCTTATAAATTTTAAGATATTTATGTAACGGAATTTTTCCCATACAGGGACAGAGGAATTCCATCACCTTTTAGACTTGTCATTTATGGTACCTGATGATATCTTGTTGCAGGAGTTTCTACCCAAAGTTCATTTGTAGATGTTTATTCAATGAAACAAACCTTCTCATATGTTGAGCCAATGCCTCACTTTTCTCCTTTCAGAACAACCAAGGTAAATGGGATGCAGTAAATAGAATAGCTTGGCACTGGTCAGATAAGATGGATAATTGTAGGTACTGTGCCCAGCTAATGGAAGTATTGTTTCAAAGCTGGGATGGTTTCCAAAACAAACACTTTACTAATGAAAACAAGCCTGTGTGATACACACCGAGGTTCTTCTAGATCCTTGACAAGATGATGTACTGATGGGCAGAGTGAAGGCGACTGCCAATACGCTGTCCCTTTAACCTTTGAAATCTTTTTGACTGATTTGAAAAAGCCAAATAGCAGTGTGGACCATTACCTCAGCTGTGTTTTATTACAGATGCACTGCAATTACTAATGGTAATGGTAAATTAGACGTGCATAGTGTTTTACTCTTCACAAAGTATTTTCCTATTTTTCACATTCGATCCTTACGACAAGCCTGTACCATAGGTATTATAAAACTCACTTTATAAATGAGAGACTTGGTGTATATAAATCTCTGTATTTCTATACTCAAGGAATAATTGGAAAAATATTAGAGTAAAGAGCAAAGCAACAACAAAAAATACTTATTACTAACATTCCAGGTAATTTTTCCTGATGATCTATAGCAGAGAGCTTATTTCTCTATAATCTACAGCCTATGTCTTCACAAAGCCTAACATTTGGAGGAGTACTGAAAATGTCCCCAGGGTTCACACAAGTAGGCAAAACCTTGAGTTCATTCACAACACTTTTTACGGTGACTGTAGATCGAACTATGTTGAATATCTGTGTGAATAATTCAGGATGAGTTTGTTCTTTGTTTAAAAAAAACTAATAAAATTTCTCTAGCTAACTTTATAGGAGTAGGAAGAGGAAGAGTCATTGATTCTACTCCTTCAAAGTAAAGCATTGTCTTCTGTCTGCAGTCTACTTTGAAATGCATCAAGGACATAATGTTATTGATGGATGGATAGTAGGATGAGTAGATGGACAGATATGTCATAAAGCAAGTAAAGCAAATGTTAATGGTAGAATCTAGGTGATGGGAATACTGGAGTCCATTGTAAAATTCTTTCCACTTTGCTGTATGTTTGAAATTCTTTATGGTAAGATGTGGGAAACAATAAAAGTTTTTGAAAACTCTTGACTTTACTGGGGGAAAGTAAAGGCAGTGCCTATAGAGAGGAATCTTCTAATGCTCACATCTGTGTTTTCCCTAAACAAGGCAAATGCCGACACCAGTATACAAACGAAATGGCTTATTTTTTCACTTTTCATCAAGATATTTGGTGTGTACCCAGTCAATTAAAACTTAACATAGTGTCATCCAGTATTTGAGAGGAAACGCCTTCCAGTGATAGTTTGGGAACCATATTGGTTCTCGGGAGGGAAATATTGACATTGGTTATCTCATTGCTAGAGTTTGGCTTATCTCATATCTTTACAGGAAGTCCATCTGTGTGCCTATGCTTCTCACAGTGCCCTATGTTTAGAAAGCAGTTCGTAAATGTTCTTGATGAGTATGATAATGATAGGAGACCTGGGAAACGTGACCTTGAGCAACCACTTCTGTCTATGAGACTCAGTGAACAACAATAAAATGAGCAATTGAACTAGAATCCGTTCATTGATTCTCAGATTGCACAGCTAGGAGCCTTATGTGCTGAAGAGCCTCCTCCAGCGTTGGTGCAAGGTTAGAGGTTAGGGGAGTTAAGAAGGAGGTACTGGGCTTCCCTGGTGGCTCAGTGGTTGAGAGTCCGCCTGCCGATGCGGGGGACACGGGTTCGTGCCCCGGTCCGGGAGGATCCCACGTGCCGTGGAGTGGCTGGGCCCGTGAGCCATGGCCGCTGAGCCTGCGCATCCGGAGCCTGTGCTCCGCAACGGGAGAGCCCACAACAGTGAGAGGCCCACGTACCGCAAAAAAAAAAAAAACAAAAAAGAAGGAGGTAGTGGAGTAGCTTCATGGACAGACCCCTGACCCCATCCCCACTGTGTGAAGGACAGGGCGCCCAGAGTCTTCTCTTGGCTCTTGGGCTATTTATGTCTCCTAATGTGAGTGTATCTATTCAATGAGGAATAAGCATTAATTATTAGATTAGAAGTTCTCTTGCAGTACTTTGCACAGTTTCTAATTTTTTTTATCAGGCCCTTTTTTTGAAATGTAGCTTCCTAAATGTCGAGTGATGCTTTTCATAATGCACTCTTCACTACTATGAATAAAAGCATTTAAGAGAAGGATGAGTTTGGGGGTATGGAGAAGATGGAAGCATCCTATGAGCATGGTGGTTTTCTCTCAGAACCTGAATGCCAGCACTAACAAATAAGTGATTCGGAAACAAGCAGGGGCTAGTTCTGGCCATCTCTTTTAAGTAGCAAGTAGTGGGTTTTTTTTTTTTTTTTAATTCAAAATATGGCATTGTCTTTGGACTTTATTCTCTTTCTACCAGCATATATTTCAGTAATATTTAGCAAGTAATAATTAGACATGGCCCTTTAATGTCTGTCTAAAATGTGTGAAGTTCCCTTCCATGGCTCTCATCTTAACAGAGGTCAAAAGAGAAACTGCAGATTCATCCTTTAGATTACCCCATGCAGTAATCTTTCCCTTCTTCTTCTTCTCTTTTTTTTTTTTTCCATGTAATGAATTTAGATGTTTATGAGCAATTCTCCCTCTAGGTGGCTTAGGAGAGTAAAAGCAAAAAATATTAAATAGGCTTTTTGGCACTCCTGGAGCTGGGCTAATTAGGTTCCCTGCTCCCCAGCCCTGTAAGCCTGCTGCTTCATTCCTGTATTTTCTGTGAGCAACCACTGCCAGCAATGCCAGACTGTCTTGGGCTAAAGTGGGATTTCTGCTGTTGATATATGTACACAGCCACTTCTCTTCTGCCTCAAAGTGGTTGGAAGGCTGACGTCCTCGTACAAACAGGGCATATCAAGTAACCCTGCTGCGTGTCTCCAATCACCTTGGACAGCAAGGTCCCCAAGCATTTTAGAGTCACGTTAAGATGAAATGTGAACCAAGTAAATAGAGCTCTTCAAAAGCATAAACTGGTGATCATGATTGTGTCACTTTGTGATGAAGGATTATGGATTTCATAGTTTATGGATTCTTAGTAATATGAAGCGGATTAACTTTTCTCACTGGATTAAAAATCCGGTGGCCCAAATGTCCACCGCCAAAAGGGAGATAAGTGCTTCACCTAGATGTAGAACTTTGCCCTGATCTTGCCTTATGTTTGGCAAAAAAACAAAACAAAACAAATAGAAACTGCTGGAAAGTCTAAGATTTTGAAACTTTTTTCTTTAGGTTTAGAAGTTTGGGCAGGATGACCAGATTATTTTGAAAAATCTAGAAATATTGTACGATGTTTAAAAATGATAGTCTACCCACAGTGTCATGGGTAATAATAATGACAAAAAGAGAACTTTGGCTTAGTCAAATGAAAAAGGAAAACAAGAACTAGTAATTCTGAGCACTGAAGCAGGTTCTTTACATACACTAATTCTTTTAACCCTCTTAATGAACCTGAAAAGTAGCTATTATTATCCCACTTTTACAGATTAAAAAAAAAATCTGGAAACTCAAGAGAGATTAAATGACTTGTCCGAGGGCCAATACAGCCAGTGAGTGAGTGAACCAGAATTCAAATTCAGGGCCATCTAGATCCTCAGGCTGTGAGACTCTCCCTCATCGCTGTGCTTCTCTGGATAAAGATACAGGGGTACTCGGGATAGCCCATATTCCAGAAAAAGCTTTACATTCAG